GTGCCCCGCCTTGTGCGCCTGTGCGAAGTACCGGCGGATTTGCTTGTGGAGTCCTGGGAGGTGTGAGGCGTTGGCGTCGTCTGAGGGTTGCTGCTCTTTGGCCGTCGCTTGCCCGCTATGACTTGCTCTTCCCTGCGTTCTTCAAGCTGTTCCTGCGAGCGCTGTCCTGGACGGCGACGAGGAGCAGGGAGGCGAGCCGTCACCTGAGGCTCTGACGAGAGTCGCCATCCTGCCGGGTACTGACGCGGTCACGGCGATGGCCTTTTAGTCCCTTGCCTGGTCCTCACCGTGGCGGAGCAGGTAGGTGCGGTTGCTGTCCCCGCTTTACAGACGTCAGACGGAGGCCGGGAGAGGGGAGGCCGTGTCGGGGTCACACTCGCGGCCCAGAGGTCAGCGCTGCAGGGCAGGAGCACGGGCTGCCGCGCGGAGGACTGGTGGAGCGGGGCGTCATTACAGACCAGAAATCGCGGCCTCGAATTTTCTCTAGCTGTTATGAGGAGACGCCTCAGAAAGCACTGAAAGTGCGAATTTCATATCAAAAGAGAGCTTTATTTACTTGGCCAGGGACTGTCACCCATCGTGGAGACTTAAGCTCTGTGGGAGGACAGCAGCTTCCTGGTTCATAAGCACAAAATCCACAACTCAGTGACTGTTTATCATCATGTAAGCTAGCCAGTCATAGAAATTAAAACATTAGTAAGTGGGACCTGTGGGCTCCAGGCAGGACTGGAATTTTCCAGTCAGCAAGCCAGCTGATAAACAGAAGCAAAAAAAGCATTAGCTTTGCAGTTCAGTTGACCACAGTGCTGGGTTCAAGCAGGTGCTGGACAGTCGCTTCCTGAATTTGGGCGGGGGGTTGCAGAGGCTGAGAATCTACTTCAAAGTCATATAGACCCACAAGTGTACTCAGACCCAGGATGTAGCTCACCATGACTACCACTGCATCCTGATTCGGGTACAATTTGTGGGGTACAAAGTACAGAAAAACAATTTTTATAAGAAAACAGCCTTTGTAACAGTTTTTTATAGAAGGCAGCAAAATGGAGTCTTAGGCCTGTCTATGACAGTTCTTGCTTCATAATTGTCTTATCTCACTTATCAAACTCTTATATCTATAAGCTCTATTTTTAAACTAGTATGTAATCTAATTTACACTCCTATTGATTGTATTTATCAGTTCACACCACAACAGAGCCAAGTGCACTTGCATGGTTCCCACTTTTCGGGAGAGCAGAGCTCCTGCCCTGCAAGACAGAAGTAGGAAATAATGCCCTTCCTTGCCCTTCTTGAGCTGGGGGTGGCAGAATTTCTCAAGAAGCAGAATGGCTCCGCATATGTGTGTTGTTCCCGAGTGTGGAACCAGTGGGGAGTGCCATTGGTGCATGAAGTTCACTTGCAAAGGGTGTGGGCAAAGAATAATATCATGGTTCTAAAAAAGTAGATTCTGAAGGGGAAAGGGATTTCAAAACAAGAAATGTGATCTGCTTTCCAGTAACTTTGTAGTTTTTAGGGCCAGGTTTTTCAGAGATCATTTCCCTATTATTTTGTGTAGACATGGCGACATGATAGCACAAAACTGATGAAAAACACAAGCACTCAACTACTGTGCTAAATTCCAGTCCCCCAGTTCCGCCTCTTATCTGGGCTTGAATCTTTAATAGGGCAGTCTTGCCTTTTGTTAAAATACCTATAGAGATGGGTCAGACTTCTTATTACTTTGTGTTGTTCACTGCTGTCTTTAATTGTTCTGCAGTGAGTTATAAAATCATAGTTATAAAACCACAGGACTTCTCCTTTTGAGTTTTATCAGTGCTCACCGTGAACATGTTTGCTTCTGTGTTCAGTGCTTTCCCTCTTGGTTCAGATTCAATGTGTGTTGATCTTGTTAATCCACAGATGTATAAATTTTCTGTTTAATAATTTAGCAAACATGTAGTTTATTGGTTTACCAGTTGCATATTTCTGAGTCATATCAAGCAGTTTTCCAGCAGCTGACGTTATATTTGCGTCCTTGTGGCTAGAAATGGATTTAAATAGACTATAATAGACATAAAATAAGAACAATGATATAAACTTAGAAAGTGAAAAAGAAAGAAAGCCATACTCTTTCATTGACTTAGTGTATGTTTTTTTTTTCAAGGAAACAGTTTATTAAAGATAATGTTCATCTGGTTTGTAGTGCATGCCTGTGATGCCAACCAACTACTTGGCTGAGGTTGGAGGATATCTAGTGCAGAGAACCATGTTCCCATGCAGATATCAGCAATGGCTGAGCCTCCAGCAGTTCCCCACATTCCCGGTTCCCTTTGGGGGCCCAGTGGTAACAGGGATCTAAGGCACATGATCCAGAGAATATCTAAAGTCTGTAAAAACCCTGAATTCCCTTTGTAACTGAAGGATTTGGATTGGAAATTTCCCAAATATGAACATTAATGTCAAAACCATTGGCCACTAGAAATTAGGCATATGGAAAATAGTTAGGTGTCACAGCTGGGTACCTAGTAATAATGTCTCTAGGGAAAACCAGATTCCCTTTTCACCCCAGCCTGTCCTCTTTGGATAGTGGGGCAGAGGCAGGATTTTCTCTGTACCCCAGTACGGACCCTCTCATTCAATATGCTAGTTTTATTTTGATTTGAAGAATTAGCTTAGGCCACGCTGGGCATGGTGGCTCAATCCTGTAATCTCCAGCGACTCAGGAGAGACGAAGGGAGGACTGCAACAATTCTAGGCCAGCCTGGACAACTTAGACCATCTCTAAAGGGCTGGGGTTAGCTCAGTGGTTAACACCCCTGGTTGTTAGCTTACTTTGGGAGTCTTACTTTTGTAGGGTGGGCAGAAGTGCAGAAGCCGCAAACCTCCAAAAGTGGGGGCTATTGCAGGTCAAAGGCACACAGGCTCCCAGGATGCCTCCTCAAATAGCAGACTTAGTATGTCTTTATATTAATGAAAATTATATTCCATTGTCAGAGTTACTTTGTTTTGGAAAATATTACCTCCTTTTACTTCTTTGTATCATTTGTTACAAAGCAGCTCTTTCGATTCCATTTCTGACCCTCCCTATTTCTGGACAGGTGGATTGGCATTTTGACTTCACATGTCATGCAGCAAAGGAGATTTGATGTGCTTGTGGAATCCTGCTCAACAGTTACTTGATCTTCCTCAGGGTCCTCCTGGCAGTTGTTACAGCTATTATGTCAACCATCATGTGTGTCACCGTGAAAGGTAAAGAATAGCCTTTTCTATTTGACACCTATTTCATTTTATTTTAATAGTTTATTGAGATGTAATTTACATACCCTGTGATCCACCCATTTAAAGTATACAACTCAGGGTTTTTAGTACATGTCAGAGTTGTGTAACAATCAACTTCCAAACATCACTTCCAAAAGAAATCCTGTCAGTACCAATTAGCATCCCACCCCTGCCAGTTCACCAAGCCCTAGGCACCCACTCATCTGCATTCTGTCTCCATAGATTTACCTATTCTGGACATCAGAGAAGTGGAATTATCCACTATGTTATCTTTTAGTCTGGCTTCTTAGCATAATGTTTTCATGGTTCACCCATGTTATTCATGCTTAGACCTTTATTCCTTCTTATGGCTGATTAAATTTTTACATGACAAATCAGTAATTATAGGATTTGTGCTCTCCTAACCTCAGTGAGATATTATAGAAAATTATACAGTAGAATCATGGGAATCCCCGAATTTGCAGCCATTGGTGAGAAGTGTGAGTGGCCTGGGAAATCCGGAGCTTATGGCTGATGTCTAAAAAGAAGATGGTGTAGGGGCGGCCTGTGGCCTCAACTGGTAGCACGTGACCTCCATGTGGTTGATCAGCATCAGATTTGCTTTACACAGTGCTGTCTTTAATGACTTCTTCCTTCTTGGTACTTTTACCTCTGAAGTTACTCCACTCACTCAACCACCATCCCTCTTTTAACACATTCAACCAATCTTAAGCTCATTCCATGTTGGTCCCTTCCAGTCCCTTCACATCATCTCCACTTGCCTCTCTAACCCCACATCACATCTCATTGATGGTTCTGTTGCCACCTCTCTTTAGCTTTGTTTTTCTTCTGGCTGATACTATGCTTTACCTGCTTCTTTCCAACTGTTCCCATATTCTCTGATGCTCTCATCTCTCAAGGTGCTTGTCTACAGTCATTCATTGCCCAAACTCTTAGCTCTTTCCTCTCTGTGCCTTCTATTTACCAGCTCGAGCTCTTCCTATCATCTCATTCTTCTCCCAACCTGCTATAGTACCTTCATTTCCCTTTACAAGTTTCTATTTCAAGAAGACTCTTTGGATTTTCTTCTGTCATGTAAAACTAGAAACACAGGTTGTGGAGAAGACTCCCATTTTGACTCAAGTAGCAAAGACTACTGTTCCCCCTGTGTCTCTTACCTTGGACATTACCAGGAAGCCATCTCCTGTTAATATGCTCTCCTCTGTTTTGGATTTAAGATTATTGTACAGCTTCCTTTAAATTTTCTTTCGCTCTTCCTGTGTTGTCTCTCTCAGTGACTTCCTGTGTTTCCTCTTCCAGTCTCTAGTTTAAGTTCTGCACCCTTCTCTGTTATTTCACTACCTAAAAAAATAACTGAGGTGTTTTTCTCCCACAGGTAGGAAATTTGGTCAATTAACAACAACCCTGTATTGTTTGACAACAAAAAAAATAATCCAGAATGACAAGATCATATACATCATTACAGTAAGAAGATTTTCAACTTTATTCAGTTTCCTCACAAATGCACTGTGCTATACTCTTCACAAGCACATAACACATGTGCTCTCTAACAATATACACTACAGAAAAACATTTAAAGAAAAGTTAAATAACAGCAGCTTGATATTCACCATAATGATGATAGAACATCAAATTAAAATGTTATATTTATTAGATTATGGGTTAATACCACTGAGGTATAAAAGTAATAAGATAAAATAGATAAAAAGAATAAAAACCTCAGAGAAATATATATATGAACACAAACATGTTATAACACTCATTAAAAAACTAATAAGGAAAAACAATTTTCCAAACAATGTCTATCTCAGAACTATGTAAAATAAACAGTGTTCAAAATAAATAACATTTATCACATGTACTAAAACTGTGACAATCGTATAAATAAATCATCTCCATGCTTGGTATCTTTAAGGGATATGTGACCCAAGATGAATTAAAAGGAGAGGTAAAAAGAGAATTTACAGGGGGGGAGAGAGAAATTAATGGCTAAAGGATATTAACTTTAGACCAAGATCAACCATTCATCAAAGCTGACATGTGGGCCCAGTTGCTGTGCGTTAAGGATTTCTAGCACATCCTGAGTGATAAACTGTTCTCTCAGGTCTAGCTGACCAACCTCAGAGCACCCAGCATCTCAGAGCACACAGTTATCTGTGTGGTTGGAGATTGAGACCATGAAGCTGACTTGGAGATTCAGGCTGTTTCACCATCTGCAGAGGGTGGCTGTGGGTGGAGGTGGACAGGACTGGATCAAGAAATTACGTCCTTGAGCATCCTAAATAGAAAATCACTGACTCTATCTGTCATCAAGCCAGGGATGCAGAGTTTTGTCCCTCCCCTCAGGCCTCCACAGTTCCAGGACTTCTAGGCAAGGAGGGTGCGATCTCGGCCCCACACCCAGAGCTCCGGATCATAAGCTTGAATCTGGAAAGGAAAAGAGCCCCCACCAAAGCTGATGACTTTATAGGATATTGAGGGTTTTGAAGATATGGTTAATTTATTTTCCCATTCCTTAAAATTACTTCACCTTGATTTGGACTTTCTAGTCACCGTGATTCAACAGTTTACAAATATCTCAACAAATACAATGTTGAGAGGCTTGATTCTATTAACTAAGTTCTGTCAGCTACAAAGGAGGTGACGTAGCAAGGTGTAATTATTAGATTTATTTAGCCTAGTGACAAATGAAGTAGCTATATACAGATATCACAACATTATTTCAGCTATTACTCATATGGACTACACTTATCAGAATCATGTTATATAAAATGTGGGACACATTTTTTCAGATTTCTTTTCAATAAAAATCGAGTATATTTTCCTATATTGGATAACTAAATTATGCTTGCTATGTGGAACATTTTGTAAAGATGCTTTGACGATAGAATCCTTTTGGTGTCCCTTCCCATCAAATTTGAAAAGTTGATTTTATCGAGAGACAAGCTTTATCATTGTCCCTGATTTGAGTAGAATACTGGATTAACATTAGGAATATTTCTGTTTGTATCCACCAAGAAAACTTAGTTACATGGTTAAATGCAAAACTGAGGACTGCCTAAGAAGTCCTTCCCTCCCTCCTGAGCTTTCTCCTCCCCAGAGCCCACCTGCAGCCACCCACCTTCCTGTCTCTCCAATCAGCCCATTCCTCTCCCCCCACAAGCACACACAGCACCACCCACCTCCTCACACTCCTCCTTGGAAACCCGAGTGTTCCAGCCCATGGAGCAGATGAACTGATAGCGCAGTTTGTGGAACAGGGGACGCTGGGCGTAGCTCTTCCCATAGAGGAAACGAAAGATGTCTTGTTTAGGAGCCTGGTTGTCCTCCTCCATGTCATTGGCCAGGTAGCTGGGGAAAGAAACCAGGTTGCTCTTTAGAGGCACAACCAAGAAGGACCTCCCCTTGGAGTCAGCTTCCCAAAATGGACTCCCAGAGGTCGCTGCCAGACACACACCTTCTGAAGGACTCCAGCCTTTTTCTAGAAAGCACTGAGCAACACAGTTGTGGGAGAGGCCTAAGGGGTGGTTGGACCCGTCTTGGAAGGATTTTCAGGGGGTGTGTAGAAAGAGCCACAAATGTGAGAAGACTCCTGTATGAAGAACCAGAGGGGACCACCCTATACTGGACCTATGTCAGGCTGGGAATTGGGCATCTGTCTTGGAAATCCAGAGGCAGAAAACAGAGCAATGTTGGTATAGATACAGGAAGGAAGAGCAGTCAGATGTGGCTGCACCTCCAGTCTCTCTGCCAGGGACAGGAGGTGCCCATGCTTTCCTCCACTCCACTCAGGTGGGCTTTGGGTTTCCTTGGTTTCCTTGACTCTTTAACAACTGGCCTTTGGGGAGCATGTGTGTTTGCTTTGACTAGGGAAGTGTGGAAAAGAAAAACAAACTATACTGCAGTGCTGTGATCTCGTGTACACGGAGCAAACAGGACAAAGAGGCTAAAAGTAAAAGAAAGGTTAGTGCCCCTCTGCTCCCCTCCTACCCTCCCAGGTAGTGAGTCCTGATTGATGAAGGAGACCAAATACTCACAGGGCCAGAAAGAAGTGGATTCTCTGGTACTGCCAGGAGAAGAGGCCAGCTCGGCTAAAATAAGCTATGACCATAGCCAGGAGGTACTGATGGAGAGAGAGGAAAAACACAGAGAGAGGTCACATCCTGGAAGAGGAGGAAAGAGGGGACAGAGGAATGGGAGTCTGGGGTGAAGAGTGCCCCTGAGAGAAGGTCGCCAAGTAAGGAGACCTGCTGGTTTGGGGAAGGACCTGTGACAGTCTGAGCAGTCGGGGGAAGAGGAGGCTTAGTGTGTACTGTAGGATCAGCCCTGAGGGGACCTTTTGAGGAAAGGCATGTAGGTGAGCTGGGTGAGAAGGGTCTTGGGTAAGCTGGAGAATGGGGCGTCCCAAGAAGTGCAAAGAGGAGAGGAGCCCCAGCGATAAGGATATAGCTCACTCTGTAGAGTGCTTGCTAGCCTCAAATGCACAAGGCCCTGGATTCAATCCCTAGCATCACAGAAAAAAAGGCTGTTGAGCACTGGGGTTGTGGCTCAGTGGTAGAGAGCTTGCTAGCACCTGTGAGGCATTGGATTCGATCCTCAGCACCACATAAAGATAAAAAATAAAGGTATTCTGTCCATCTACAACTAAAAAAAAAAAACATTTAAAAAAATAAAAGAGGAGAGGTGCCCAAAATCTCAGATAACAATAGCAGAGAGGGGAGGATAGGAATGCAACACCCCAAGCAGAAGCAAGGTCCACCTGTCCTCACTGCATGGAACTGCTAGGCCCTGAAGGGAGATGTTGACAAGTCACAAAGGGTCAGGACTTGGCACATCTTGTTGGTTCTGCATGGAGACAGAAGGACCATGGGCTAGAAAGCCCTCCCCTCTCCAGGCTGTGCTGGAGCAGGATCACTGCCCAGTGGAGAACAACCTCACCTTGTCAGACACTCTCAGATTCTTGTCCCAGGCCAGGAATCTTTTGACAACAGGATCCTCTGTGAACAGAACACTGGTGTTAGTTGGGAACCAGAAGGGGCTTCATGGGTGATAGAGAACAGAGAGAAGAATAGGACCTCCATTGGAGAAGGTGTGGGATTGGAGTGCAATAGAGCCCAAAAGAGCCAAATATCCCAGTTGGATAGGAAAAGGACAGGAACATTCCTGGGAAAGCTGCTTTGCCCTGAAACCCCCCAGGGAAACAACTGAGTGAGGGTTGGGGTAAGAGATAGATGTCTGTATGACTAAGAACTTGGATTAAACCACGAGGGCCCATCATCCCCCAAGAATGCACCACCTCAGAATTAGAGTTACTATGTTATTTTCTCATTTGATAGTCACCCCTCAGGGAGGAGGAAATCTATTACAGCCACAATGTCTGCAATCAGTGAGGACAATTGAAACCAAGCTCTGTGATCCCAAGCAGGGTCATTTTTCAGGTGTAAGGTAATCATCCATCATCTAAGAGTTTCACAGAGTCCTCCAGGAATGGGGATCTCAGGGATAGCAGGGCTCTTTGGAAAAGTGCAGAGGCTATAAGTTCCTTCTTTGTGTAAAGAGCAGGATTGAAGGGCGCTACCTGGGTGTCTCCCTACCTAGAAGCCTGTTGAAAACCTCATGGTGTTCTGGTTGCACCAAGTTCATGCGCCGTTTTTTGAGTTTCATTTTGAGGCCACACAGTGACTCCACATCCCAGGGGTGATTTAGCCCACTTTCCAGATCCTCCAGCTCATCCTCAGATTCAGTGGAGGACTCTCTCTTTCTCTTTATGCCAGTGGTCTCAGGCAGGAGTCCAGATTCTACCCAGAGTGCAGAATCAAAAATCCCCGGGGGGTCATCCTCCGAGTCTCCCTCAGATTCTGAGGTCCACTCCCTCTTCCGACATGGGAGGCAGGGTTTTACCCACAGAGCTGAGTAAAGGAAGCAGAGTCAAGCTCCTGAATTTGGAACTCATCCTTTCATCCTCTGATCCCAGTTCACCTCCCACACCCCAGACCTTCAACTGTTGCCTTCTGAGCTATTGTTCCATCTCTCCCCTTGGCTGGTAGCCATCTTCCCCTGATTCTCCGTATCATTGTCCCATCTCCCTGTTCCTCAAAACTCTTCCTCATTATGGACACTTTCTCTCATGGGTGGAGTGACCCTTTTTACATCCCCTCTACCCACTTCCTGAACTTAGATCTCATCTTCTAGCCCAATTCCTTTCTCTGCAGATTTTCCATCCATGTGGACTTCCTTGTCCCGTGGCCTATTCTGAACTTCAAAAGTGGGCTTCCCAACTTTCTGGCTGCTCTATCCCTTCATCGTAACCAGTCATCATGTCAAATCAGTTCTCACTCTAGCTCCCTCACCTGATGGACCTGGGACCTCATCATCTACCACCACCTCCAGGTGGGTTCCTGAGGTGCTCGGCTGGGAAGGCGATTGCCCAGACTGGGAGATTTCTTGATCTGCCATAAGTTCTCCAATACTCTGTCTTCCTTCTACAAAACCTAGGTTCTTATTAAGGTAAATCTTTCTTCCAGAATTTGGTTGAATAGGAGTCTGTTTGCTCTTCTCCAAACAGGAGAAATCAGGTAAAGAACAGTGCTGAGAACAAACTGTTGCCCACTGCACTGCCAGTGGTCCACAGAGTCTGTCCCTTCCAATCAGGAAGGTTGGAAGCCTCTGATGTCATCACTCATTCCAACCTGGCAACCAGTTTGAAGGAAAACACTTGTAACTGTCAGACTGGTGTGTGCACCTGTCCTAGAGTTCTAGAGGAGATGGTCTCTGCTGCTACTGATCCAAACTCTGTCCACTTTGCCAAACTACCCTACAGGTCTCTGACTCCCTTTTCACTTCTGTCTAGACCCGGGTTCTTCTCTCCGTTGTCACCACAACACATGTTAGATACCCAACCTCTGGGCATTTCCATTTCAGAGTTCAGTGCAGTGGGAGATTAAGGAGTATGGCAAGGAAGAAGGGGGGAAGGCAGAAATGACATGACCTCCCAAGAAGGAGCTCAGTATGTACAAAAGAACCCACGCACACTGAATTATCACTTGAAAACCCTAAAAGGAAACACTCAGTTTAGCAAATCTAATCTGCTAAGTGCCACTGGCCTTCACTGTTTTCAGAAATCTGTTAAGGGGACACACACTCTGCACTTAGGCTTGTTTGACACAAGGATTCCTTTTGAGGTCATAAAATCATAGGAAATTGTAAACATGCTCATGGTTTTCCTAGAGTATCTACACTATCTGGGAGTCTATGGATCACCTCAGGTTAGCCTCTCAGTTCCAATCAATCTCTCTCCAGTTACATAGCATATTTGGGAGTACAGACATTGCTCTTGACCTGCATATTTCATTGTCACCTATGCACCCTATGGAAAGTCTCACATGTAGAAAAAAGAAACAAATGGGAGATTTTCCAATTGAAGACAGAGAATAATATTTGCTGAGAAGATGGGAAGTGCATGGGATGTGACCCAGCACCCAGTGGAACTGGGGAGCTGCTTCCAAACGTCCTAACTTAGCCTTTTGCTTTACACCTGGGCATTCAATCCATGTTTTATCTTTCTGTCCACAAAATGTGTTTAAATGTGCAGAAAACTTGCCATGTTAACCATTGTGCTGTGTAGAGGGTGAATTGTCTCAATTACATGCATGTCTCACTTAAAAATGGAGATATATTCCTAAAAATGTGTTATAGGGTGATTCATCATTGTATAAACATCCTAGAGTGCTCTTACACCAACTGAGATGGTTATAATCTCACTGTGCTGTCATACTGTGGGACAAATTCATGTATGTGGTTCCATGGTTGTTCATAATGTCATCACGTAGGGCATGAGTTTAAATTTTCTGTTGTGCAACCACCTGCATCACTCATCTGGAGAGCTTTTCCATCACCATAAACAGACACTCTTTACCAATGAAGCATTAATTTCTACTTCTCCTTCTACAGCTCCTACTGACCACCATTCTACTTTCTGTCTCTATGAAATTGAGAACCATTTGTATCTCATTTGTGTTGAAGACTGTGAACTCATACAGTATGTGTCCCACTGTGTCTGGGTCATTTCACTTTGTGTACTGTCCTCAAGATCCTACGTTGCTGGAGAAGGGGTCAGAATTCCCCTCTTTTTTAAGGCTGAATAGCAGAAGAGAAGATAACATTTTTTGTCCATCTGTTTATCTCTCAGTGGGCATTGGGTTGATTCCACATTTAAGCTGCAAGACTTTCTTTTCCCACTGTTGGATCTTATCAACAAGACCATGTTTGTTATTCATGCTGTGCTTGAAGGTTTTTTTGTTGTTGTTGTTTTTTGTTTTTTTGGGTTTGTTTTTTTTTTTTTGCATTTTAATGTCTTACATGATTCTGATGACCCCATTCCAAGCAGGAGTAAATGCAGGTTGATTTGTGTTACCAGCTGAGAATGAGTGTCCACCTAGTTTTGCAGCCCTGGATGTTCAGAGTTGAATGAGGACCCAGCAGCCTTCCAAGTGACCATGAGTTCCTTGGCAGCTCTCTCTCAGGTCCTGGCTGTCAGGAAGCAGGTCATGTTGCTGTGGAAAACCGATTGATTTCTATTCATGATATCTTTAAGCATCAGAGCGTCTTGGGTTCTCTCATAGCAAATCAGAAGTTCACACTCTCCCTTGTAGTGGACAGCCTTCAAGTACACCCACATGCCACATGATAATGTTTTGGTCAGTGATGGTCCACATATATGATGTTGATCTCACACGATAGTATCGCCTGTTGATGTAGGAGCCAACTTAGCCTCTGTAAGTATACTCTGTGACTTCCCCCAAAGACAGATTTCCTATGGGCACATTTTTCACTCCTTATCCTGAGTGTTAAATGATGCATGACTGTGTGAGAAGATTCTGTTCAAATTAAAAGTCGCAATAATTTTGGCCCAAATTCAACTCATATCTGCATATAGTGTAATAATGTCCTATTCACTCTACTGTCAAACCTACCCTCATGACCCTTCCCCTTTCTTTACTCCTCTCTGTCTAGTCCAAAATACCTCTATTCTCCACACCCCCCTTATTGGTAATTAGCATCTGCATATCAGAGAAAACATTTGACCTTTGGTTCTTTGGGATTGGCTTATTTCACTTAGCATAATATTCTTCAGCTCCATCCATTTACTAGCAAATGCCATAAATTCATTCTTTTTAAGGCTGAGTGATATTCCATGTATATATACCACGGTTTCTTTATCCATTCATCTGTTGAAGAGCAACTACATTGGTTCCATAGTTTAGCTATTGTGAGTTGAGCTGCTATAAACATTAGTGTGTCTGTGTCCCTGTAGTATGCTGATTTTCCTTTGGCTATAAACCTAGGAGTGGGATGACTGGGTCAAATGGTGGTTCCATTCCAAGTTTTCTGAGGTATCTCCTTACTGCTTTCCAGAGTGGTTCCACCAATTTTCAGTTCCATCAGCAATGTATGAGTGTACCTGTTTCCCTATATCCTTGCCAACCTTTATTGTTGCTTGTGTTCTTGATAGCAGGCACAGTCCATCTTAATATATGTGATTACCTTGTTTTAAAATGGAGTAATACGTGAAGATTTTATTTGAAATGTACCTTCACCTCTACAACTTTTCTCCTTCTATGGATACAGTCTGACGCAGCAATAATGATAGTTATACTGCAGAGATAACAGAGTGAATCTTTGTGCTTTGCAAATACCACTTTTAGCATAAGGTGACATGTAGGATCACTACAGTACAGTTTGTTGGCCAGTCCTCACAGATTCTAATTAAATGGGTGTCGTATTTCTCAGTACTGAAACACTCAGGGTCACTCCTGAGTGAACTGGTCTGCAGGAAATAACTACACAAACAACAGAGATACCTTTTTCTTTGGTCCTGTGACAGCTTTTCTGACCTTAGGGGTCTGTGGAGAGGTGAGCCATTAAAATGAGACAGGGGGTCAGGTTTCAGGGCGTTGAGTCTAGCTTGTGGTGTCTGCTGTCAGCAGAATGACTGATATCTAGGAAGGCCACACCCAGAGACAGAGCAAGAGAAGGGGACACACAAAGGGCATTTTCGTGGACCATTCTATTCCAAACAGGGCAAAGGTGTAGTATAACAAAGGAATACCTGAGTGTAGCTCCTGAAGATATTCCTTCTACTTCTTGGGCTGGGGCAATGCCCAAGTTACCAAGTGATTGGTCAGAGCCTCTTGGTTCAGGATGGAAGGCATGGGTCATTCAGAGTGGCTCCCCACAAATGGGAATGACAGTGTTTTCACTAGAGTACTTTAAAATTTCAAAATATCTGGAGAAGGTAGCAGGGATCCTAAAGAATTAGAAGTCGGGCAGTGGAAAACAATGCCCTTCTGGCCATTCTTGATCTAGAGGTGGCAGAATTTCTCAAGAAGTGGAAAGGCTCCATATCTATGTGTTGTTCCAGAGTGTGGAACCAGTGGGGAGCAGCATTGGTGCATGAAGTCCACTCACAAAGGGTGTGGGCAAGGAACGGTTCTGAAAAAGTAGATTCTGAAGGGGAAAGAAATTTGAAAACAAGGACTATTATGAGCTGCCTTCCAAGAATTTCCTAGTGTTCAGAGTCAGGTTTGGTTCCTAGGGTTTTGTTTTTTTTTTTTTTTTTTTTGGTTTTTTGGTTTTTTTTTTTTTTTTTTTGCAGACTTGATACCACAAAACTGATGAGAATTACACTAGTACTCTGCTACTGAGCTAAATTCCCCTTCCCCTAGTTCCACTTCTTTTTTAAATATTTATTTATTTATTTATTTAATTTTATTTTTTTATGTGGTGCTGAGGATTGAACCCAGGGCCTTGCACATGCTAGGTGAGCACTCTACCACTGAGCCACAACCCAAGCCCTTAGTTCTACTTCTTAAAGGTTCTGGACCTGAATATTTTTTTTAATTAATTAATTTATTTATTTATTTAAGTTGTTATAGACCTTTATTTTATTTATTTATGTGGAGTGCTGAGAATTGAACCCAGTGCCTCACACATGCCAGGCAAGTGTGCTACTGCTGAACCCCAGCCCCAGCCCCTGGACCTGAATCTTTAATAGGACAGTCTTGCCAAGTGACGTACTATGTTCTGCTAAAATAGGGATGTAGGGATGGACCAGAATCATTATTGTCAGGTTGGTGGCAGTGAAGCAGCCTGCCCGTGGGGAAAAAACATCAATCAGGTGCCGACAGAAACACCTGTCAGCAGAATCCCTTGGCCAATCCTGGGATTCAACCAGCTTCCTGCGACCAACTCCAGAGGGACAAGGGACTCTAAAAACATCTTTTCCTGTCCCAAGCCCTTCCCTTCCTGCCTAAGCCCCATAAAATCCCAGTCCGGTGGAGCTCCCATGCGGTTTCTCCTCAGACCCTTCTCCTGTCCACTCTGTGGGTCTGATGAATTGCCGCCCAGGAGTGAATCTCAAATAAAGCCTCGTTCGGCAGCCTTTTTAAATCTGCCTCCTTTGGTTGCTGTCCACCTTGTCTTATCTTACAATTATGACTTTGTGTTTTTTGTTGCTGACTTTCATTGTTCTGCAGTGAGTTATAAAGTCATAGGCCACAGGACTTCTCCTTTTGAGTTTTATCAGTGCTTACCATGAACATGTTTGCATCTCTGTTCAAGTGCCTTTCCTCTTTATTCAGATTTAATGTGTATTATCTTGTTAATCCACAGATGTACAAATTCTCTTGTTAGTAATTTAGCAAACATGGAGTTTTTGGTTTACTGGTTGCATATTTCTGAGTCATAGTGGTTTGCATTATACTTGCTTGTTTATGGCTTTAAATGCATTTAAATGGAATATAGCAATCGTAGACTAAGAACAATGATAGAAGCATAGCAAGTGGAAAAAAAAAAGAAAGCCATAATATTTAGTTGACATGGTAGATATTTTATTGATGAAAATTATATTCCACTGTCAGCCTTACTTGTTTTGGAAACTATTGCCTCCCTTTATTTCTTTGTATCATGTTTAACAAAGCCATGCCTTGGATTCTATTTCTGACCCTCCCTGTTTCTGGACAGGTGAATTGGCATTCTGATTTCATATGTCATGCAGCAAAGGAGATTTGATGTACTTTTGGAATTCTGCTCAGCAGTTATTTGATCTTCCTCAGGGTCCTCCTGGCAGTTGTTATAAGTGCTATGTGGGCCATTGTGTGTGTCAGTGTGAAAGGTTAAAGAGTAGCTTTTTCTATTGGACACCTGTTCCTTTTTATTTAATAGGTTATTGAGATGTAATTTGCATACCCTGTGATGCACCTATTTAAGTGTACAACTCAGGGGTTTTTAGTACACATCAGAGTTGGGCAACTATCACCACAATCAACTTCAGAATATTTCATCACCTCCAAAAGAAATCCTGTCAGTACCCGTTAGCAGTCATTCACCATTTTCCCCCGGTTC